TAGATAAATGGGTACCTGCTAATAGAGCGGGGGGGGCACCCGTCCCTTGTGTAGCGGCGGCGGCAGAAAGAATATGGCGGCGGCTGGCGAGGCAAAAGGCGAACGAAGGAGGCCAGACCAACAAGCACGGAGGCGGAGCAACGCAGGCCGGAGCCTACTTGGACGGAGGCCGCGAGCATGCGCGGAAGTGCGAGTGGTCCAAGCCCGGAAATGAATTCGCAACAGCCGGAAGGAGGAACCTCAAAGACCAGCGCTGGAGTGGACGCCACCGGACTACCTCCCGCAAGGCAGTAACAACGAAGATCCGCTACACAGAAGGGTGCCTGGTAGGCTTGTCACGTCCCCTACATGTATGTGGCCCTAGGTTTAGGATTGTATGAATTGGAACATGTAAGCCGCTCAGAGCCCTTCGGGGGTGAGCGGGATACAAATTGAAATATATATATACCGGTATATATATACTAGGAATGACAGCTGCAACGATGGCAGCCCTTCCTTTTACCAAGCTTCGTATGCGGGTGCTTCAGATCTGGTTCTTGAGACACTTCCGTCTCGTCATCACCAATTGACAACACTCCTTGTCCCACCCTACGTCCTGCATTCTCTCGGCTGGTGGGGACACAATCTGAATCTTCTAACAGGTGCCCCGTTTCAACTGCCGGTGCCTTCAGAGACTCTAACGACGGATGCCTCCCTGTGGGGGTGGGGTGCTCACCCCAGGGGCCTCTCCATACGAACCCAGTGGGATCCCCAATACCACAACTGCCAAATCAACTACCTAGAACTTCTCGCAATCCGGTTTGTGGTCCAGTCATTCCATGCTCTTATACAAGGGAAAGTAGTCGCCGTACTCGCGGACAACACTGCCGCGTTCAGTTGTGTGAACCGACAGGGAGGCGCGGTGCCCAGAGTCTCTGCTCCCTGGCTATGGATCTTTGGCTCACGTGCATCAGCTGAGGAACCTTCCCATTAGCCAGGGGTTCAAGATGTTCAGGCATATCGTCTGAGCAGAGGAGGGGCTTCCTTGCACAAGTGGGAGATCACCTGACATATTTGCTCCCAGTATTCGAGGCAAGGGGATGGCGAGAAGTGGATGTGTTTGCGACAAGGGCAAATTGGCTGATTGTTCTGCAGCAAGGGGGGCATGGACCCTCTCCCCCTGGGAGACAGACTTCTTCTCCTATGGGGGGACCATTTTGTGCTCCTATTCCCTCCTCTACGTCTCATAACCAGGGTTGTGAACAAACTACTCAGGGAACGACCAGACTGTATCCTGGTCACTCCATGGTGGCCCAGACAAGGGTGGTTTCCTGTACTTCTGAAGCTCTACCAGGGTCAATGGCATCGTTTCTTCCCTGTCCCAGATCTCCTGCTCATGGCGGGGTGGTGGTGTATATTTCATCACAACATACCTCACCTGAAGCTGAAGGCGTGGAGAGTCTCCCTTGACCTTTCTTGGCAAGGGTGATGGAAGTCATCCTTAATAGCAGGAAGTTGTCTACCAGGGAGTCCTACACCTACAAATGGAACAGATTTGTTAAGTTCTCTGCAGCTTCACAGCTCCCTCAGGAAGCCAGAGGTCTTTCATCACTTTTTGATTTTTTTGCCTTCCCTTGTAGACTCAGAACTGAGTTATTCTTCAGTGTGGGTCTATTTGATGGCCAGTATGGCACTCCAAGGAGCTACGGTGGCTCAAGTGGTTAAGACGCTGAACTGCAGGCTGTGGAAGGTCGGTAGTTCAGCAGTTCAAGACCCGGGTGCTGCATGGTGAAGTGAGCTCCCGGCTCTAGTTCCAGCTCCTGCCAACTTAGCAGTTCGAAAGCAAGAAATTGCAAGTAGAGAAATAGGTACCACTTCGGTGGGAAGGGAACAGCGTTCCGTGCGCCTTGGTGTTTAGTCATGCCGGCCACATGACCACGGGAACGTCTTCGGACAGCGCTGGCTCTTCGGCTTTGAAATGGAGATGAGCACCGCAACCCTAGAGTCGGATTCGACTGGCTTTCGAGCAAGGGAACCTTTACCTTTTTATGGCACACCATCAATTGGTAGATGGTTTCTTGGTGTTTAGCCACCCGCACTCTAAACATTTCCTCAAGGGGTTACTTCGCATGCATCCCCCGCATCAGTTACCTGTGCCAGTCTGGAACCTTCCTCTAGTGCTGCAAAAGCTAATGGGCAAGCCCTTAGCTACACGTGATGTGCGGTTACTCATTTGGAAGACTGTCTTCCTGATAGTTATCCTGTCGGCGCGCAGGGTGGGTGAGCTTGTAGCCCTCCAGTGTGATGAGCCTTACCTCCGTTTTTCTAGCAACAATGTCACGTTGAGCCCGGAGATCCCCTTCCTCCTGAAAGTAGTTTCAGACTTTCGTCTCCACTCCGATATCGTGCTCCCAGATTTCTTTCCTGATCCTAAGGATAACATGGAGAGATTCCTTCATTCTTTGGATGTGAAATGCACTCTCTTATTCTACCTCCATCGGACGTGGCAGTTCCGTAAGGACCCACACCTCTTTGTCGCCCTTACCCAACAGAAGAGGGGCCAGCAGGTTTCGACTCAGAGGTTGTCGAAATGGATTGTAGACACAATCAAACTGTGTTACCTACTGGCAAAGCAACCCTTACCGAGTGCCGCCAGGGCACACTCCCCAAGAGCGATGGCCCCTTCCGCTGCCTTCTTGAGAGGGGCACTCACTGGAGAAGACCCTGATGCTGGGAAAGATGGAAGGTCAAAGAAGACGGGGACGGCAAAGGATGAGATGGTTAGACAGTGTCATAGATGCAACGAACATGAAATTGAGCCAACCGGAAGGCCTGGCGTGATCTGGTCCATGGGGTCACGAAGAGTCGGACTTGGCTGTGCGACTGAACAACAACAACAACGTGGACAACCCTGAACACCTTCATTCGACACCATGCTTTGGACATCCGTGCCCGTCCAGTGGGTTGGTCGGTCCTTCAATTGGCATTCAGCTGAGTAGCTGACAGCACCCTCCTCTGGTAAGTCATAAGCTTGCTACTTTCCCACAGGTGTGACACACAGAGACCATGAAGAAGATAAACAGGTTGCTTACCTGCAACCGATGATCTTCAAGTGGTCATCTGTGTATCCACACCGCCCACCCAGCCTTCCCTTCCGCTTTCAGCCTGCTCATTGTTTGGGTTGGGTATGTCAGCGGTCAGAAAGAACTGGCAGGAGACCCGGGCTCCGCCCCTGTAGGCATGCAATGGTGGGGCCCCGCATGTGCCTCGGGGGTGGAGCATGGGAAAAGGAGGCTTTAGGCTTGTTAAGTTACCAGTGGGGTCAGGCACGCATGTGTGAACGCACAGATGGCCACTCGAAGATCATCAGTTACAGGTAAGGAACCTGTTTTTAAACATATTAGTTGCCCACAAATTTTTCTTAGCCAAAACCATAAATAAAATCACAGGGTTTCCCCCCCCCCCAGCTGCACTGTAGCCATTTTAATGTTAGTTCATATGATGATAGCAGTTACATATTATTGGCTAAGGTACCTTTATCTGGAAAGCTATATAGACGTTTGTGACTTCTTTAACATTCTTCCTCTACATCTCTGAGCTTATAAGGGTTAGCCATATAGGGATGGTGGCTCATCACCCGTGGTTGCCGCTGAGAACTTCTTTGCCATATAGACAAGTCACACAGCCGGGAGTAACCCTTTGATACCCTTAGGCGGGCCAGTCCAAATGTGTGGGGTGCTAATCTGAGCTTCCCCACATCCGTGGGCTTAGAAGAACCATCTAAATTCAGAAATTGTTTTCAGTAGCACCCGCAGGTGGGCAGTCGGCATTGTGGGTAAATCTATTTCCCGGCGTTTACAGGACTTCAGTCATAATACATGCACACAGTCATTCTGATGCCTGTATTAGGGTTCTGGATTCCTGAAAGCAGTTTCTGCTGGTAAGCTTGAAATGCTAGAGTCAGATCACTTGAAAGCAGGGGTCATTTCATAGAAAAAGAGGTGCAGGAGCTCATTAGCATAATGCATTAGCATAACTTATTTGCATATGTCGCCCCCACTGACCTCACCGGAAGTGTGTCAGAAGGCAACACCCACCGCTCAGGCTCCATTGGACTTTTTTGGATTGCTAGCTATTGGGGGGGGGCGTGCAGATCTGCCTTCACAGAGGAGGGAGAGCTGGTACCTGAAGGTGGGCCGGGGGGGGGGCTCTGCAACTTACCTGGCTGCTTCTTGCTCCTCATGGCCCGACTGAGGGCTGCTGGGAGCAGGGGGCGGGGCTTGTTGCATGTGCCCACCCCCTGGGCTCCTTACTGCCGGAGCTCTGCTCCTGTGCGCTCCCGCAGGAAATGACCCTTGCTTGAAAGTATAAAGCACGCTAAGGGATCATTTCGATGGCTCCTCATGTTCTTAAATGAAACTATGTCGCTTGGCCCTGTTTGTTTGTTCTGTGTTGCTCTGAATGAATGAATGAATGAATGAATGAATGAGAGCTCCTTGCTATGTATCCCATTGACTTTTGTATTTGTTATTAAGGTTGAGCCAGTATTTGCAAGACAGCTGTACTATTTTGCGCAGCAAAACACCGGACTTTTTCTAAGAGGTTACGATATGTCAGAACAACTCGCCAGTCCAGAGGATTACCACCGATCTCTGCACCATTCCTCTGTTCAAGAATAAAGGCGTCGAAAAGTGGTGTCTTTTGAAGGCTAGAAGAACCATTGGCTCAGAACTGAAAGATCAGAATCAGTGCGTAGACTTTCCCTGGGAAACAAAGCAAGCTCAAGAAATGGATACGGGCAAGCCTAATAATGTAGAACGGCGGACACGGCATTTCCCGCACCATCTCTTGGACTGCAGGACCTCAGATTCTACTGCTGGGGTTGGGTGCGAAAGCTGACAAAACGTCCAGCGTGTTTACATGGGGTCCAATGAAAACAGTTGTCTTGTAAACTCCTTGAACGTAGACTCCTTACTATTTATTTGATTAGAAATCTCAGGGCAGGAATTCCTAGAGCGGAACAACCGTTACACGGTATGAGGTTGTGCTAAAAAAAATGTGGGTTATTAATGGACATGGAATTATTTTGAAATTATGTATGCTATTTTTAAGGCCTCTGCATTCAAAGAATGTTGCAGTGTACACCTTTTCTTTAAAGGAAGACGATTGCTGACCTTTTTCCGTACAATTTTAATGGTTATTGTTGCTGCTCCCGGCCTGGCTGTTAAGTTCTACAGAAGAACATTGTGCCAGTATATCTCATTGAGTTAAGCCCAGTAAGTGATCGGAACTTCTTTCTTAACTGCTAGATTAAGGTACCTTTAAAAAATTACCCAAATCGGTGAACTGCACATTTACAGGGCCGGAGATGAATTTGTGGACACTTCGTGCAAACATACTCTGCCCTCCCTTGCAGATGTGCACCAGTTTAATCTGAGCCATTTAAACATGCAAGACCAGAGTTTAAACTGAGTTTGAACTAAATTCACAGTGGACGTGAGGTCAGAATTGTTTCTTTTTGGCTGTAATGCTGACAGACAAGCATAGGTCGTGCTCCAGGGCTGAATTGCGCTCTTCAGTTCAGTGGACTTAGGTGCACCGAGCTGTATCTGTAGGACCGTGACCTGTATCTGTAGTCTTAAAAGTTGAACTGGTTTGATTTCTGGAGCTTTATATTTGTTGCTGACACAGATGGAATATTTACTTGGACACTCTTATTACCTAGTGTAGATGGAAAGCTAAAGCTCCTGGTATATGTATCAAGGCAGAATTCTCTGATTCAGGGAACAAATGGTTATCAAGGTACTGTCTTTCCTTAAAAAGACAAAAAAACCCAATATCGTGTCAATTACTGTTTCCTGTGTCAAAATACACTCTTCTCCCAAATATTATACTTGAATGTCTAATCAGGGAAAAATTGTATATTGCTATACAATTGGCAGTAGATTTCATGCGCTAGAAAATTCTGAATGTATACATCTTAAAGATGCATACTGCCTTGGGATATAATATCCCTCCTTTCCTTTCCTCCATAACTTTGCATATTCTTCCCGATCACTTTGATCATAAATGAAACTTGGAGGAAACGATGGGCTCGTAGTGCTGTTTTGTGCTTTCTTTGGCGGAGGGGTGACACTGTTATCTTTGCAGACCTCCTTTTTTTTCTTTCGTTTGGCTCAGTTATTCCTGTAGACGTGTTACTTTGTGGTCTTAAAGGCTCCATGGCTTAATGTTGTATTTGTATACACACTGATAAGAGCGTACGTTCCATCGAGCATAGTGGCCCTTCGGATCAGATATGCATATGATTGCACTATAATGTATTTTTATGTATGAGTTTACTTGTGTCTAAGCCCCTTGGAATCATTGGCCTTCGTCTGGAATAACTCCGCATACGGTCGCCTTGAAAACCTTTCTTATACTAGGCAGAGTATGTAGCCTACTAGTCCAAAATTAATTGCTTGAAAGTTAGAGTCATTGAATTTAATGGGGTCCCCCCTCTCCCCCCAAGTAGTGTCTTCAGGATCAGGCTGTTGGACACATAGCCCAAGATGTGAATGTATATGCTAGTTCTTGGCAGAGAATTCCACACTTTAATGATGGTCTGGGCCTGGCTGGGGTGATGGCACGCGTGCCCACAGAGAGGGCTCTGAGTGCCACCTCTGGCACCCGTGCCATAGGTTCGCCACCACTGCTCTAGATAGTACATTGAGGACTGAGTCCTCTTTTCAGTGTCTGAGGCAGGAGGCTTTGGAAAGTGCTTGCTCTCTTAAGCATGCCATTAGAGTCTGGTAGGAGGGAGGTTTTGAGCGGAAAGCAGCTCACAAGAGAAAGTATTCAGCGGTTCTCTCCCTGCCTTTCCTTTGCTCAAAACTGCAATGTCCCAAACTTGGTTTTCATCTAAAGTAAAACCATCCAAGCTCCATTACATGCCTTTCTCCTAATGTGTAAGGTTTGTCCCTTTTAAAAATATGTGCCTAACAGTGCAATACTCTGCATGTTTCCTCAGAAGGAAATCTCACTGTGTTCCGTGTGACTTGCTCCCAGGTAAGTATGCCTGGGACAGTAGCTTTAATCTTTCTTGGCTATAAATCGTGTGGCAACTTTTAAAACAGGTTCCCTACTGATCAGCAGAAAACACAAAAGGTGTCCTGTTATTCTAATCCAGGAAAGGGAATGCTACATTTCTCTGATTCCTCACCCCCCCCTTTAAATTCTTTTGCTCCCACAAAACATGAACTACACTGCCATCATAAGGGGGTCTTTCATCTGAGGATATTCTGCAATTGACATACAGATTATAGTCTGCTTTGCTTGGCAAATTGTATTATAAACGGCCAGCCTGTGTTGTAGATGTGTCTCCAACTTTGCTTAAGGACATCACTAGAGTATAAACAAACAAAGGTACAGTCGGGCCAAAGTTAGGACCTAAATCTACTCGTTCATTTTAGTGGAGAAAATGTCAAATGTGCTTAAATTTCCCACCAAAACCAATGGGGTGTCCTTGTGGTTGACATTCGCTTGACCATGCCATAAGTGAATGACTGTGCTACATATGCTCTGAAAGGCTGAGAGGTTTGTGTTTGAAGGACAGGTCTTGGGTTCAGTCGGGTCACACCAGGGCCGTGGCCAGTTTGCATCGAGGCTTTCTGGGTCGATCCTGTGTCGTGGGGCTCTTTCGCTTACAGTAAAATTCCTATGGATGCAGACGGATGCTTTCTTCTGTTCCAAATGCCAGAAAATACTAGTTTTGATTTTTTTTTCATTGGAAAACTTTGTGCTTACATGTTTTGTGTAAGACAGCAGCTCTTCATTTCAAACAGGGTCAGATAGCATTGAGTTAAAAGTAGAACTGTTAATTCAATAGGCCAGTGTTCTGTTACAAATACGACTTATCCTCCTTAGTTGTGGCCAGTCTAAGAAAAAGTGAACATAAAGCTGGAAATGTATATGAAAAATAAGTGTGCTGTAAATGTGTGTGGGGTTTTGTTTTTTTACAAAAAGTATTTGTCTCTTTTGTTTGAAACATGCAATGGACAAATAAAGTGACCAGCTGCAACCTAATTTTTCCATAACTTTGTGTTCTCACAATCAGTCATAAAAAGCTTCTGTTTCTAAATACTGTATGTCCACCGTCTGTTTCCTTTCTTCCCAATAAGTGGAATATTAAGTGTTTGATTCTCAGCAACTATGGTAATAAAAACAAAAGGGTTCTTTAAAAATAGAATCTCTCCTATCGTGGAAGTCAGTTTCTAATGCACAAAATATCTTGTTAAAATTTCATGTTAGGCAGTAACAAGCTGCATAAATCTGTGATGTGGCTGAGCCTAAGTCTGAAAATCTTGGGTAGAAGAAGAAGAGAAGAGATTGGATTTATACCCCACCCTTCACTACCCAAAGGTGTCTCAGAGCGGCTTACAAACTCCTTTCCCTTCCCCTCCCCACAACAGACACCCTGTGAGGTAGGTGGGGCTGAGAGAACTCTTGACAGAAACTGCTCTTTTTCAAGAACAGCTGTGCCAGAACTACGGCTTGCCCAAGGTAATCCAGGCAGGTGCAAGTGGAGTGGGGAATCAAACCCAGTTCTCCCAGATTAGAGTCCGCGCACTTAACCACTACACCAAACTGGGTACAACAAACCATTTAAAATTAAGCACTTTAACTGCGGTTAGAGATCGTTAAAGCTTAACTCTCCCATTTAACACCGTGAGACGAGGTACTCGGCTCTGGCTGGATCGTGTCCCTGGTTCACTTAACGGGGATTCAGGCTAACCAGGTATTATTCACTCTGTTTTTTAATTCTCTTATGGAAAGATTCACTTGGCCTTTCCAGTGGGTCAACGTATGCTTGTTTACATCAGCATTTGCCACGGGCACGGAGGCGG